TTGGGCCCGCTTCAGATTTTCAAATATTAATATCTAGAGTTCAGATTAACCAATATTAAAACAACTTATATAGTAAGCATCAATAGAAGTGTCTCTATTAATATTCCAAAAATAAATGAAAAATATTGAAAAACAAAGAAAGTTGAAAATTTGGACTTTTTGAATTGGCTTCCGGTAGCGACAGGAAGTACTGACGACGAACGAAAAGTTGCGTCCTGGAAAGTATTGATCATCATCTATAAACTCTGAAAGTTTCACATTGATATCTTTTACCGTTTTTGAGTTTAATCGTGGACAAAAAGTCATTTTAAAATCAGGAAAATGGTCCAAAACTTGGCACCAGAGAGGAATTTCCAAAAACTGTCTTGGAACTTTCAAGAGTAACTTACAACACATCTTTCCTGAAAATTTCATGTAATTCTATCCAGTAGTTGTCGAGAAATCGTGTCAGAAAAATAATAATAATAATAATAATAAGAAACAGAGCAATAACTATAAGGTCTTCCGTGAAGACGGAAGACCTTAATAAGAAACAATAGAATCGCTATAAGGTCTTCCGTTAAGACGGAAGACCTTAATAAATAGAAATTTGCAATTCATTCCGGAAAATAAAATGGACGTCACCTAAAATCAAGGCCAGATTAATTCAAAGACAGCAGAAATCAATTGGTTGCCCTTGTCCAGGCCGAGAGTATTTGAACAAGCTTGAAAAATGTCAAAAGGCATTTTCAAAGGAACCGGTTTTTTTCAGTTTTTATTTTTAGCTCACCTGAACTGAAAGCTCAAGTGAGCTTTTCTGATCACCTATTGTCCGTCTGTAAACTTTTCACATTTTCAACTCCTTCTCAAGAACCACTGGGCTAAACTTGGTACAAAGCATCCTTGGATACAGAGGAGTTTACATGGTTAAAATGAAGGGCCAAATCCCCTTACGTGGGGAGATAATCCTACTCCGGGGGGGGGGGGGGGTAGGGCAGGCCACGTTAGGGAATCCAAGTTTTACATTGAAATATATAGGATTTTTAGATAATAATTTTTTTTTCAAACACCACTGGACAAATTAAGAAAAGCTGAAATTAACGTGGAATCATCCTGGGGTAGTGTAGATTCTAAATTATTCAAATCATGACCCCAGGCTAGGGGTTGGGCGGGACCACAATAGGAAATTCAAGTTTTACATTGAAATACACAGGAAAAATCTTCTCGAGGACCATTGGACCAGAAATATGGAACATGTGGAGCACCATGGGGTAGTGTAGATTCTAAATTGTTGAAATCATGACCCCGGGGTAGGACGGGGCCACATTAATATAACAAAGAAATCTGTTGAAAAAAAACAGAATGACCAAAGTTACTCAGGTGAGCGATGTGGCCCATTGGCCTCTTGTTTTCCTGAAATATCTCTACAGTTTTAATATAACTTGAACGACAAGTAATCTGCGATAACATTTTTGCTTATTGATCTAGATATATCGTAACTTGTCCAGTTTTTTTTAAAGATATTGTGCCACTCATGAATCAACATTTGACACTGATTTCTTTTTTAGTCGGAAGTGTCCAAAGATTAAACCGACTTATCATTGACAAAAAAGTATGATCGATTACAATCCAAAGATATGGAGGATTAAGCTCAACTAAGGATAATTTTTTTAAAAGAAAACTTAAAACAGAAATCCATGTACTTAGTTTGACATGGTTTAGCCACACATTTGACCTTGGACATTCAACCTCATGAGAAAATGTCGCATTAACACAGATCGAAATTGACGACAGGCGGAGACCACAGAATTCAGCATATTAACGTACATGGATCTGATTTTGTTAAAATGAATTTTTAAGTCTTTTAAAGATATCAATAAACTCTTTTTTAATTAGAACATATGGACTTTAATTTGGTAATTCAATTCATTTTATTGAAACACCATCATACATTGGCATATAGTCATGAATACAATAATTAACATACATAGAATTAAATATCAAAGAAAACATATCAGGTTTTTTGAAGGTTTTCTTTCCTAACATCAAAGCACTTTTTCAAAAATTTACAAACTCTCCTAGCAGTTCTAATACTTGTAGGATTGATAATGTCAATAATAGGGTTTTCCTTCATGTAACATTGTGCATTAAATATATCGTAATATTGTAATCTACATTGATCATAACTAAGACAATAAAGTACAAATTGGTTTTCATTTTCAATAAAAAATTTACAAAAATGATATACACGTTTTTCTCTAAGAATAGGTGGCCTTGAGTATCTCCCCATTTCAATATGTATGGACTTTAAAATAATAAAGCTAAGATTTGAACTAAATTTTTACTAGAAATTGTTTGGCAAAACAATATTAAACAGGGTGTAAAAATATAAAATGAATATACATCAGGTCCAAAAGAAAAAACAAAAACAAAAAACAAAAAAAAAAATTCATTTTTTTTCGATAGAAGCGCGCGCGAGTACTAGTAGTTGAGATTGTGGGTGTTACTTCTACATGAACTTGAAACGTGTATTTATTCTGACATTAAAATTGTATATTTTTTAACTAAACTAAAATGTATTCATCTGTCTACAAATCTCTTATTATTGCTATAATTAGGGTTAGATATTGTTAAAAATATTCCCTTGTTTCTTCTAAAAAAGGAATTTTTTCCCCAGAATAAAATTGCGTAAATTTTTAATCAGATAACATGCAATAAACCCAGATGTACATGTTTTTTTTTCTGAAATCTTTTTTCTTCTACATATTCACTTTATTTTCTAAACACGTATTTATCAGAAATAAATAATGGAATACATGTACTTATGATTAATATCGGAATTCCTGTTTGACAAGCAAGTGCGTTTTGTCATTTTCTTTTCTTCAATCACATTGAGTTGCACGTATTGCATGTATTGGTTATAAAAGACCCGTTATCTCCTTGCGTCCCCCCTAATCCTTCATATAAATTGTCAGATGACTCGGCAAGGGACAGTGAATATATCCATGGATGCCGTCAGTACTAAGAGATCATTATAGCGTTAATGTGCGAGTTTATGAGTTGATATGCCACTTTTAAAAAAAATTATTTGAAATCCAAATCAATATCTATAATTACTGATTACTGAATTTTTTAATATCTTTTTTTTTTATTTCATTGCGATGAAGGAATGGAGTACAGTTGTTATTTTAAGCATTTTTGCTTTCCTTTTTGAAAGTGCCTCTTCCTTGTTTTTGGGAGGGACCATAAGCTGGCGAGAGAACCAGAGAAAGGTAGGAGATATATTTCATTACAAAAGAATGAAAGTGAATTAATGTATCTAGTCAAAGATAAAATTCGAAGAGAATAAATTAAAAAAAAAAAAGAAACAGTCTGTGCACAATTTAAGTTTGCTTTTGTTTTATAAAATTGACAACTGATTGGTAAGAGTTTGATCAGAATCGGCTTCAAAATATCTTTTTTTTAATATTATATTCCTTAAACATCAGAATAATCAGCGAAATTTTTCATTGGCAATGTCGTTTTTAAGATTGCCAACCTTTATTTTCTCTCAATTTTGGTTAAGCATTCAGTATATGGCCATAAATGAGTCATAATTGTATTTCTACACTTTATATTTCATTGAAAAACCAATTTTTATAAAATATTGTGAGCTCAATCTTAGCCTAATTTCCATGATTTTTTCACTGAATAAATTGTAGAATTGTTCAATTTTTCTCTTCTTAAAATCCTTAACAAAATGATACAATATTCATTTAGAATTATTTATGGAACTGTCAAGGCAAAATCTTCTAACCTCAATTACTATGACTTCTTAACAAATATAATTCTTAAAATTTTTATATTGCATTTAACATGCGATATCTCTGCAATACCTGCAGATAAAATTATTTTGAAATTTTTTAAAGAAACTGCAAAGAATTCTACATTTAATGGTGTTTTAGTCATAAAAAAAGAGCAACAAATAACACTGAAATAGTACTTAATTAGAAAAATGCATTTTTCAATGAAATTTATAGTAGAAAAAAATAAAATATACGAGGGCTGTTCAATAAATAATGTCCTGAACTGAATAACATACAATACAGATATCATATGACATTAAGCTTGACTTTCTCTCATTATTGAATCTTTAATAAATTTATAACAGTTTATGTGACCACTTTTTTATCACATAGTTTCATTGTGAGAAGCTGGAAAACAAGGGCTATTCGAAACACTGCATTATAAATGAATGGTAAAGAATCAGTAAACTAGAGTGAAAATAAAAGCTTCATTTAAGCTGCTGTAAAACTTGTTAAAATTCCAAAAGAAATATTCACTGAAATATGTGACATTTACAGCAACCAATGTCGGTTTTAAAGACAAATGAGCAGGTGGATTTCAATGATAAAAATTTATATAATGGGCATCAAAATGGGTCCCGTCCTTACCAACAAAAAAATTATAACAACTTATTTACTGTTTGCCAGATTGCAACAAATAATGTCTGATGATGTTTGACTGACTTTAAGACACAGCAAACTTGATAGACATCATTTCGGAAGTAGTTTACACTGTTTTTAAGAAACGTTTGACGGTAAAAAAAAAAAAACAACAACAAAAAAGCTTAGTACTCCAAGGTCACCCTATATTTCGAAAAATGAGTGAAAACAACAGTATGTACGAATGTCTTAACATTTATTTTAAAATATCAGTAATTGTAGTTATCCACGTTTGTTTGAAATTCAAAAAGATAATGAAACTTTAATCTATTGCTAAAAATCCTCGAAACAAAATTTACCATAAGATGTACTTGACAAAAACAGCGAAGGACTGACAAGAGCAAAGAATTGCAAGAGCTTAAACACAGATTTGTAAGCAATTTTCTTAAATATTAGTGGTATTGTTGTTCAAATTCGTATTCAGGGAGACAATTTAATTTATGGAGGAGTCTAGAAAGCAAAATTTGTGCAAAAAAAATCGAAAGGTTTATTTGATGAAGGTCCTAGAATTAGGAATCCACTACATAAAATTTCTTCATGACGGCGTCCAAACAAGCACGCCCTGAAGAGCAAAGGAATTTTGGGGATAAACGGAGAGTAAATGTTTTTTTCACATTAACAATATTCACCAGATCTTTGACCTTTTGACTTGTTTCTATTTCCAAACTTGAAAAACACCTTTCAGAAGGCAGAAAAATGTCAAGGAAAACATAGGATTTGTCATTTTCCAGTATACTAAAGGTCATACCCAAAAAAATCAGTTCTAAAAACAATTGGAAATTGAATAAAAAAAATGTTGCGGATATGTGTTTTAATTTTAAGAGAATATATTAAGTTAAATTATTAAGTCTTTTACTCCTTTCCGAGCCCCGAAGACATTATTTGTTGAACAGCTCTCGTAACTCACTTATTGCCTGGTACTTCACTTGTTTTAATTTCACATACCTTTACGAATTATCTCTTTCATTGTTTTAAATGGTAAATTACCAAATGTCTCAACAAATCTTCCTCGTATTGAATTAGATTAATACATGTAAGTAATTTTTGGCAAAAGAGGAACATCGTACCAAAGCATAATTATGAAACAATAAAGCCTACATTGTTAAATGACATCACTTAAATGTTGAGTGAGAAAGAGGAAAATAAACTACAATAAAGTAAAAATATTTTGTTTCAAACATTTTCAAATACCCCGTTCCATAGAATCAATTACGAGACGATGTAAAATGTTATTGCACTTTGATTGATGTTTATTCTTAACTTGGAGCATGTTGAATTAAATAAATTGTTGTAGAGTTCTTCTAGGTGTATACCACTTGTTTGGTAATCCACCTGACCTATGTGTATTCAACAGATATTTTTCACCTTTTAGTATAATTAATTGTATGTTTATACGATCATTATAAATCACAAGAGCTCACCCACTGTTTCCTTTCTGATATAAGTCGGGGTCTTTAAAGTGTTTATAACAGTGTTTATCGCTGTAATAACTTTATCATGTTCAGAAGAGAAAACAAAAGGAAGCAGTGAAGAGCAGGTTCGTGTTGTTAGTAGATTAACCGTTATATCATATAACCTGATAGGTGTGATGTATCGACAAATTAGGCCTCAGTAGATATTATGAATTTCAAAACAGCAATAAAAAATTTTCATTTATCAAAATACACACCTGGAAGCAGCAAAATATATCTGACAGCTTTATTTTCTTGTAAAGAATAAACTACCAAATCAATCAAGGAGGCACAACTATTTAATATTTTTTTACTGAACTTTTTTAATTTATTAACAAGATGTGTTTGTGAAACACTATGCGCCCGGCGGCAACAAAGTTTAAAAAAGCATATTTTTAGCATATAGGTCACAGTCAAGGTCACAAGGTCATTGAGCTTGGTGTCATTTGAAAAAAACTTGAGTAGTGAAGTATGCATACCAAATCTGAAGTCTCTCTCTCTCTCTGAAGGTTCTAAAAAGCTATTTTTAGCATATAGGACACAGTCAAGGTCACTAACTCATTGACCTTGGTATCATGTGAAAGGGCTTAATCAGTGGAGAATACATGCCAAATATGAAGTCTCTATCTTTCTTCGTTCAAAAGTTATGACAAAAGTTAAAGTTTGCCGACAAAAAAGCTATATTTAAGGTATAGGTCACAGTCAAGGTCACAAGGTCATTGACCATTTGTGTCATTTAAAAGAGCTTAATCAGTGGTGTATGCATACCAAATATGAAGTCCATATCTTTTACGGTTCAAAAGTTATGGGGAAGGTTAAAGTTTGCGGAAAAAAACTATTTTTAGCATATAGGTCACAGTCAAGGTCACAAAGTCATTGACCTTGATGTCATTTGAAAGAGCAAGGTCAGTGGAGTATGCGTACTAAATATGAAGTCTCAAACATTCATGGTTCAAAAGTTATGGCAAAGGTTAAAGTTTGCAGACAAACAGACAAACAGACAGCTAGACAGACAGACGGACAGACAGGACAAAAACAATATACGCCTCGGATCTTTAGATCCGGGCGCATAAAAATATTTAATATAAGGGGATTTTTTTGTAAACCGTGCCTTCAAATTCAACGGACCAAAGGTATATTTTTTTCAAATGTTTTCTGAACGATGAAAAATTTACAAATTACAGCATGAAATACCCTTAATTTCATATCCACTTAAAATAATTGGACTTCTGACTCTTTTTAAGTTCCTATGTAAATTCTCTATACACGAAGGAATGCTAGATACTGGCAATTAGCTGGGAGGTATTTTTTGCATGTCATGTTGTCAAAAACTATATCTAAGTTAATCCCCACATGTTATCCCCTCTTAACCACTAATAGTTTTTTAATATTTGGCCAAGTTAAAGATCAATTAAATTGATTTCCTTTCCTTTTCCTTAACAATGAACTTTTTCTGTAAAACACAAACACACATAGAAAACGAGGTTTAGTAGAATTATATAATTTTCTGTGTTAGAAGGACCGTACGTAGTCAAACTCAAAAGTTTATTGAAACCAAATTAATCAGGAGCAGAGCAAATATGAACCTCTAAAACTATCAGACGTGGGATCAGGTGCAATGGAGAAGCAAACATCCCTTGTGAACATGTCACACCCGCCATATGCTCCTTGTATGCTACTTATCATAATCGTTCAAACAAACAAAAAAAAAATCGTAGATAATTTAGAGTGTAATTTATTGACCCAAACATTAGTATGAAAAACGTGAGCCAGTATTCAAATTACTGATAAATTGTATTTGTTGACAAGGTCATTGTATCGACCGTAGAACTTTAAAAAATGAAGAATTTAAACGAGACTCTTGATATCTGTCGTTCCTTCCTTTTATATTTCTTATTTCACTTTGTTCATTCTTTTTATTTTTTCTCTCTCTACTTCTTTCCAAACTTCTAATTTACCCTTTTCCCAGCCTCCCTTCCCTTTCTCCGTACTTTCATTTTCCATGTCCGATCTGAAATTAATCCTAATCCTCTGCTATTTCTTTCAAGCTGCGATACACATATCGTGTGACGTTTGGAGGGGGTTATGGGCCTTGTGGATCAGCATGTTCATACACAGACATCGGAAAGAAGACAAAGGCGGGAAAACCTTTCAACGAAACAAACTGGGCATGCGTAGGATGTTCAAACCAATTTACCGGAAGTGACTTAAATTACGTAGTCACTGCAATTGGAGAAAATCCCAAATGGGAACAGGGAGAGAATGTTTTTGAACAAAGTATTAAAGACGCCAGATTCATAATGTCGTATGTGTTCACAAATAGTATTTTTACATGTATAAAGGAATCAATATTCTTTATCACACTTTCTATTAAAAATTGTAGAAAAATCATTAAATTAAGATATAGATGGATAGTATATCTTGCATATATTTTTTTCTTCTTTCAGAATGATTATTTCATCTATTCTAAGTAACACCAACAGAACAGTTTTATCAACAACTGTTGATACCCGTGTTCGAAATGACACTCGGAGTATAAATTCCAGTCCGATTGCAGCTCTACCACCATATACTGGGTAAAGCAAGCTAAAGCAACCACTTCTCAATTGAATCGAAATCGAAGCCAATGTCAGTAAATTAAAGTTGTGTAATTTCAGAATTCCTTTTGGGTGTGTCTCCAACATTACACTTCCTGTTATAGACCCCGACAATGACGTCATTAAATGTCGCTGGGCAACGAGCGCAGAATGTGGTCAAGCCTGCACTAATCTACCTGAAGCATACATAAACGAAGTAATTCCCTGACTTCAAAATATAGTTAATTGTATTTTACATAATCTCTTTAACCACAGCCTGAAAATAATTAAATTTCTGGAAAACTCTTTACTTAATAAACATATGGGAAACAAAAAAATCATTTTAAAAAAGTGCCCATGGATTGTTTTTCTTGATAAATAAAGAATCTTGATTTGTGTCTTTGTTTTAGAATTCTTGTAGCATACACATAAATGCATCAAAACAAGCAGGATATAAGACAGGACTCCGATATTGTGTAGCAGTAACAGTCGAGGATTTTCCAAGATTTCCAATCGAACTCTCTTCTCACATTCTCTTCCCGAATCAACCAGTCAGTAGCGTGCCTCTCCAGGTTGGTTACAATAAGAGACCAATCATAAACTGTGCATTTCAGATAGATTAGATTCATACATATGTATTTATTTTTAGTTCTTTATAGACGTTGTTTCGTCAAGCTCAGGTTGTAAATCCATCATTACCTTTGGGAACAAGAACGTTCCAGACAACACACCTGCGTCTTACAGCTTTTTGGATTTTCACAAGCATGTCGAATTTGTATTTCCAGTTTACTTATCTTCCACAGGGTGGGTGTACCTTTATGTAATTTGATTGATTATCAAATCATGATCAAGCAATAATTAACTTAATTAATTTGAGCCTCTTACAAAGATTCCTTCCCATAAGACTATAGTTGAAGCAAACAAAGTGCAAATTTACTATTTGAAATTTGGCTTTAATCTGTCTGTTTTATGATTAGCATTGTATTATTTTATAATTTTGTTTAGGCACAATGCAACATTTGTACAGAGTTTTACACAACACATCAACACTACAACTATTAGTAACCATTCAGGAAGACATCATACTTTGGAATTATATTCAAAATGGCGACCAATTCCACAACAACTCGGCGAGAATCTTTTGTGTGTTTGGGGGAAGGATGATGAAGGGTAAAAGCATTTACGTTTTAGAAAAGCTTACTATCGGATTGGTGGTACTTTACCTCGATTTCCCTTTGACACCATACAATTCCATTACAGAGTGACTACGAGAAAACAATGCATCTTGGGACTTATTGCTGGTAAGTGTAACGTTTTAAGTCTAATTTTCCATATGATTTATACTAAAGCATTGTTCCTTTTTATTTTTTTCTTCACAATTCTCTAAGACTTTGACGAGTGTGTTTCCAATCCCTGCCATGGTTCTGGTACTTGTGTAAACCTTTATAGAAGGTACGCATGCGCATGTCCACCTGGTCTCAAGGGCTCAACTTGTCAAGAAAGTATGTACATGTAATTCTCCATCAGCCTGTGCCTAACACTGCAAACAATGTAACCTTCTGTCAAATTTATATGATTATACTTACGTATTTCCAAGTTTATTTCAAGGTCGTGTGATTCTTTTATTTCAGAAATAACATGTGACCAAAACACGTGTCTAAATAACGGAACATGTTCTCTCAACTCGTCATTCACCTGTCGGTGCAAACATGGTAAGGGGAGGATATGTTTTTCTATACATATTTTTCCTGATATAAAGTGTCAAAAATATCTTATTCTCTCCTTACTATTATACTGTGTTAGGATTTTTTGGAGACCTCTGTCAGTTTGAAGAACAACCCTGCTCAAGTTTTCCATGTAAAAATGGCGGGAAATGCAGTCCGTCATCCGGATTATACCGATGTTTGTGTCCGAAAAATTTCAAAGGAAACGACTGTGGTGAGTTATTAACTTGAATTTTCTGGCATATACATATTTTGTCAAAGCAGTTCATTACACTATGCATGAGATGAAAACTAGTGGTTTGTAATTCAATTTTATATGTTACGTGTAGTTCTCCATTTCAAAGCCTGAACTTTTACGAGGGCTGTTCAATGAAAAATGTCATCGGTGCTCGGATAGAAACAAAAGAAAAGGCTTTTTAATGTTTTTGTCTTCTTTCTCTTCTCAACTTATGCACACATAGTTGATACACATGCCCGTGATATTTATATCCAATTCCTAAATGGTTTAGAATACATTTTTGATTATGGTCCTTCTTATACTGGAATATTAAAGATCCTATTATTTTCTGGTATTGTTTCTTATTTCTGAGAGGTGTTTTTTCAATTTTTGTAAAAAAAATTCATACAAGTCCAAGGTTGAAAGATCTGGCGAATATGGTTGGTGTGACAAAATATTAAATTTCAAAGTATTCGAAACCCCTTTTACTGTTCGGGACATGTGGGTTTGAATGCTATCATGAAGAAAATGAATGTAGTACATTCTTGATTCTGGTTCCTTTTTCTCATAAACTTCTCAATTTCCAGCAATAATTTTGCTACCTAGGTTCGTCCAGAAATTGAACAGCCTTCCCAAATAATAATATTAACAATAAGATCACTACTATTGACGAAAGTGGTTATAAACTTTCTTTGTGCTCTTCTGCTGTTTGGGTCACGTGCATCTTGTTGTAATATTTTCTTTCAAAGCAATGGATCCAGATTTCACTGTCTGTTAGATTTTCAGACAAACGTGGATAACTATAATTTATGCTTTTTAAAAAAATAATTGTTTAGATATTTGTACACGCTGTTGTGTCACTTATTTCTCAAAACATAGGGTGACCATTGGGTACTAATTTTTTTTACCGTCAATGTTTCTTCAAAACAGTGTCGATCACCCCCCGAAATTATACATTTAAATTTTCTATGCGTCTTATAGTCAATAAAACATCATCAGTGATAATTTGAATTGCCAAGGACGGTGTCCATTTTTGATGCCTATTTTATCATTTTTGATCATTGAAATCCTTCTGCTCATGTGTCTAAAAATCAAGCATTGGTTGCTATTAACATTATCTCTTTTGGTTTATATCTTTTTTTGATGTTTAACAACTTTTACAGCAGATTTATTGAAGCTTCTAGCTTCACTTTTGTTTATTGATTCTTTAAATTCATTTTTTATGCAGTGTCTTGAGAAGCCCTTGTTTTCCAGCTTCTCACAATGCAACTGTATGGTGAAAGGTGGTCAAATAAACGGTGATTAATTTATTTAAGATTCAGTCATGAGAGAAATTAGTAAGCCAAGGTCCATGTAAAATATTTTCTATTTTGTATATTATAGAGATCGTGACATAATTTATTGTACAGCCCTCGTAAGTACAAAAAAATATTAGAAAATGATACATATAGAATATAACTGTGATGTACACATGTGATACTGATTTTATTTTTTTTTTCTCGTATAACAACGTATTTTGAAATATCATTCTTTAATTGCAGAGTTTACACCGACGGTCGAAGAACCTTATGATATGGTAAATAATTTTTAAAAGTCAGATTTCAGGGCCCTGATCTTGCTACTGCATAAACCAGTTTATTAGTATAATATTAAAAACTTCACAGAAAATCTTGGGGGATCCAAGAGCATTTTCGTATGATCTATTGTTTGTCGTCAATTAAGGTTATAATATCTCCCCTCGCCAAAAACAAGTTTGGTCATTATCGAAAGATGATCTGAGGACCCTTGTTTAGATTAAATTCAAACTTACAAGTCGTACACGAGTATGTTGCCGCATACTTTCATTACCTAAATGTACATCATTATTTTCATATTTTGCTTCAAATGCATCTCTTCAAAGTGACAGTCTTGCTGTACATGATAGAGGTATGATTCTTCCCGGACTTTATTAATTTAGATACTTTCACTGCAATGAATACGAGTGTACAAATTAAACTTAACGGTTGTTCCTTCCTTTTCAGAAGTTATCGTTGACAAAATTTCTAAGTATACTCTTGGGAAGTGTATGTTGTGCTTTGCTGCTTATTGCGCTGTTTTTCTTTGTCTCCAAAAACAAAAGAGCTAGTTTGTCGTCAAAAGTAAGAGATTTACATTCAGTTGGAAACCAACAGGTGAAAGAGATAGAAGATACTGGGAATAAAGTCAAGAAAAAGAAAACAAATAGAAAGAGGATTGATAAATCATTAGGAATTTGTTCTGCCCTGAATTTCTGACTTGCAGCGTTATACTGTGGACTGCTGTGGAGTACTAAGAAGAAACAATCAAGATTCATAATAATTATTTTTAAAACATTTGTATTGTTTTAATGTATGCAATAAATATTGCTATGTTTATATATATGCTGATATATTATTCTGGTATCACTTCGAACTTCCACAAGCTATTCAGATAAATTATTAGTACACTGTAAAACATTAACTGTACAGATAAAGTTTTTTTTTTTAAAATAAGATACAGGGGTATATATGGTTTACATAAAAAAGTTTAAACAAATAAATTTCTGTTTTCACTGGAGTATAGCATGTATAGCCTAGTTAAAAAATTAACAATATATACGCATACAATGTAAGGTACTGAAGCACTGTGGAGTACTGTACCTGAGAAGCTCGTCCCTGATTCATAACTCCTACCACGGCATGGCAGCAAGGTCGCCAAACGTCAGAGAGTTTTGAGATGAAGACAGAGGCTCGGCAAGGATGTTTGCTGTCACCAGTCTCTTATCTCCTGCTTATTGACAGGACCATTAGCACTACCACAAGACAGAAATAATGGTATACATTGGACACTCCTGACGCAACTCGACGATCTTGAATTTGCCGATGACCCGGCTCTCCTTTCGCACAACCACATGTACAGTCAAATGAAGGATAAGACAAATCGTCTTGCAACAGCATCGGCAGGAACGGGGATCAAAATCAACGTGAAAAAAATTGATACTGTCCAAACACCAGTCACAGCTGGTATGAGTTCAATAGACAGGAAGACATGGACAATGGCATCAAGTCAAGAATCAGTAAGCAAAGAGTTGCGTGTACCAAGCTAAAGAGCAGTGACATAAAGACCACATAGAACATCTGCGTTACTTCTAAACTGCGGATCTTCAAGTCAAATGTAGTCCGTTTCATTGTGTGGAGCAGAGACACGGAGAATGATGAAAACACCCTACAGAAGATTAAGACATTTTACAACAGCTGTCTCATGCGCATTTTCAACATTCAATGGCCTAAAAAGAACACAAATGGAGATCTATTGAAGAGAGCTTGACAGGAACCATAAGACGTGCAAACATTAATCAAACAAAAACGTTAGGATGGAAGGACACACTTTAAGGAAATCATCATAAAGCATCACACGCCAGGTCTCGACCTGAAACCTGCAGGTCAAGAAGGGACGTCCATAAAACACCAGAGAGTGTAACACGTAAATTTTGGACATGATCTGCCATGACGCCCCAAAAGCAGCTCAGAATCGTGTTTGTTCGAGACAGTCGTTGATTTTTTAATGTTCGTATTGGAACGACAGGCTTTACTAAGTAAATGAAAAAAATGCGCAAGTATACAAAATATCACGGAAGGTTGATTTACCCCACCTCTGTTGATTTTTCCGTGAAATCCTGGCTTACGATTGCTTATAGTCTGTTACGTGAAGGCGGTGGATTACATACCCAGTCAGTTGTAAATCTATACCCGGTCTATGTATTACGTCACAAATACAAACGTGACGTCATAATAGGCACAGTATAAGCGTGATGAAGCATTTAGCTGGGAAAACCATTTATAAACTACAGATAAAACGTAAATGTTTCATCCGTGGGGTAAATTCGTTACATAGTCTTTTAGTGACAGGGTATGGGATGATACCTGGTTAGTAAATTTCATACCTGACCCGTATGGGATGATACCTGGTTAGTAAATTTCATACCTGACCCGGCTCCGCCTCGCCAGGTATGAAATTTACTAACCAGGTATCATCCCATACCCTGTCACTGGAAGACTATGTAACTAATAATACCTGCTACGTGATCAATAATTATTTTGAAATGTATGGAGGGATGTGGCGACATACATTGGGATCTGTTCAATCAAATTGTTAACTACTCAATGGCATCTTTTCTGATTTATTACTTAGTACTGTAAAATAGAATTGTATACTGTGAGGGGAAACCGATCAATATAAAGTAAGTTCTTTGATCCACTTCTCTTCTTTATTTTTAAATACCCTACACAATTTGAAGAAAGTGGAGCGGATCGAGGTTCTACTTTAAATTAGATTGAATGTGAAGGTCAAAAGGCCGTTTAAATCCGGGAGTCAGGATTAACTTTTGTGAAAATAACCAATATTTGCTTTACTTTTCTAAATTATGTGTGTTCAGAGATGTCCCCGGTGGATTTGTTTACTGTTGATCAGGTTTATATTAAAGGACTACTACTGATTCAACGAAGACTTGAAGAATTGGACCATTAATTTCAAGGACTATATTGAGAATATTCCAGAGATATATGACTGTGATCGAGTCCGCACAAGCTGAGGAAGTGAAATACAAAGTAGAAAATAATTGTATAAATTAAATACTTAAAATCAAGTAATAAAAGTAATTTAAAAAAAAAAAGGCGACTGAAAAGGATTTTTATTATTTTAACTACATGTACGTACCTTGAACTACTGAATTATTCCAAGCATTACAGTATCATAATCAAGAGTAATATTTTTATGTTCTTGAAACATTTAATCTCTTTCCATTCAACCATAAATATTCAAAAATAAAAACGTGCAAGAAACGTATCCTTCGTTTTACTATATTCATCATGTTTATAAAAAACCGACATACTTTGATTAGCTATGGCGAAAACTGGTTAAATTCAGCGTTGAATCAGAGTGCATTCATTGAATACCTCAGATTTTTTTTTCAAGAATTTAATGAATTCTTCGATTTGTTGTAATGAAGACTTTATTACATACATTTATAAATATATTATGTAAAAAAAAAATGAAATGAGTACTATGGACTTCATTCACTATATACGAGGGACGTTCAATAAATAGTCATCAGTGCACGGAAAGAAACAAAAAAAAAAAAACAAAACAAAAAACAAAAACAAAACAAAAAAACGCTTTTCTATGATTCAATCTTAATGATTAAAATAAAATATTCTCTTTTAATGAAAACACATATCCGTAACATTTTTATTCAATTTTTAGTTGTTTTTAGAACACATTTTTGAGTATGACCCTTCGTATCCTGGAATATGGCAGATCCTGTGGTTTCCTGTCCGTGTTTGTTTTCTTTTTGAAAGGTGTTTTTTTGAAGTCAAACGTTGAAAGTGCTGGCCAATATTGTCGGTGTGACAAAACATGAACTTTTTTTATTCCCAGAAATCCTTTACTCTTCATATGGCCTGTGGGTTTGGACGCTGTCATGAAGAAATTTAATGTACCGAATTCCTCATTCTGGCTCCTTCCTCTCATATACCTTGCATATTTTTGCAAACATTTTGTTTTCTAGACTCTTTCAGAAATTGAAATTACTCTCCCAATAAGAATTTTAACAACAAGACCAGTAATATTTAAGAAAAAAAGCATATACAATTGTTTTTGCTCTTGCAATTCTTTGCTCTTTTCAGCCCGTTGCTGGTTTGTCAAGTTTATCTAATTATAAATTTGTTTTGAGGGTTTAAAGCAAAATGGATTCAAGTTTCATTATCTGTTTGAATTTCAGGCAAACATGGATAAGTACAATTTTTTATATTTTTTAAAATAATTGTTTAGATATTCCTACACGCTGTCGTTTTCATTTTTCAAAATATTGGGTGACATTTGAGTACTAAACTCTTTTACTACGAAATGTTTCTTTAAAACAGAGCGAACTACCCCCAAAATGATGTCTTTCAAATTTGCTATGTGTCTTAAAGTCAATCAAACATACTCGGTAATAATTTGTTGAATTTTATAAAATATACATTCGTTGTTGTATGTCCTTGTAGCCAAGTACGGTACCCATTTTTGATGCCCATTATATCATTTTTGTTTATTGAAATCCACCTGCTCATGTGTGTTTTTAAACAGGCATTAGTTACTATAAATTTCACATATTTCAGTTAATATGTCTTTGGGATTCTTAACAAGTTTTACAGCAGCTTTAATGAAGAGTTTAATTTCACTCTACTTTACTGATTCTTGACTATATTCATTTTTAATGCAGTGTCTCGAGTAGCCCTTGTTTTTCAGCTTCTCAGTATTGAATCATGTTATAAAAAGCCGTCACATAAACTGTTATCAACTCATTAAAGATCCAATAATTAGAAAATAATTAGTCAAACTTAATGGCATATGATTTCTATGTTGTGTGTCTTTGAGCTGATGACATTATTTATTGAACGTCCCTCGTACTTTGATTTATTATGCTAGACTATAGTTTTTATGTTCGGTTTGTCATTTTTGTTCATTATAAATATTATACATGTAGCAGCAGTGCAATTCTAAATCTTGTAAAAAAAAAAAGTCAACTTTTACTTCTGTATAAACTTCTGTACCACAGCTAGTATTTTAAGATTCAATTTGTGATCATTTAAATGTTGTACATAATCTTTTGAAATAGGTCATGGTACTTTATAGGGCCGTCAAAGTTTTGATTCGACTTGACATATAATCGGATAACACTACTTAATAATTCACCATCTTAAGTTTTCAGTAATGTTAATACTTTTTTGAACGTGTTTTGATAAAGTGTTATACTTTAAATAAATCTAACTGCTACCCCGTAGAATTAACCAAGACTTTTGACATCTTTACATATACAATATAGTTCTAATTTTTCAGATTTTTTGGCTATATGCATTTTTTTCAGTGAAAAAACATATATATATATATATATATATATATATATATATATATATATATATATATATATATATATATATATATATATATATATATATATTTACATTGGATCTTTGAAAGAGAGATTGATACAGGAAAAAAGCATTGAAACATAAAAGACAGACAGATCTTTGAAAGAGAGAAAAAAAATTTCTCCTCAAAAACTGTTACATATAAAGAAATCTTCCTTTGCAAATTAATTTATTAACCTGACACTTAAATGACACGTATTTCACAAATGATGATAAAACGAACATTTCATCGTTTATTATGGTATAGTTCGGATGTCATTGGCGGCCATCAGGTACATGTAATCCAAACTCCTGCCTCTGAGCAGCTCACAGACAGACAGACAAGGATGTCCAACAATCAAAATGCAATCCGGTGTATTACGTCACTCATATCTTCCTTTTATTTTGAATAACAGCTGTCAATCATTGACACTTTCCCACGCCGTCAAAAGGTTATGAAAGGATAGAGATCCCGAGGACAATTCCAAGAGTCCCGTTACTAAGGTTACCGTAGAATATATCACTACAGCTAGTAATATCAGTGTAAATGCATCTGATTGGATTAAGGAGAAAATAAATATTTTATTTCATAAAAATAGCACTCAGAAAATTTCTAAACTTTTTAAAACCAAAGTTTGGATCAGAAACTTTTTGTTGTCGAAGATGCAAATTTTAAAACAGTTTGTGGATAATGTGGCAAAAGTTATTTTAAAAAAGAAATGCAACGTTAAGTAGTTACATGTATTTTAAAGTTGAACTTTTGGTTAATATAAGCTGTAAATATTACAGGTGTATCTTGACTCACAATAATAATGATAATATTTTTTGTTTTGTTTTTTCTTTTGCTGTCAATGGTTATTGGCATTGTCCAATTCTTCTTATTTTTATGCTTTTGAATATTTTCTAAAATCTTATGCTTTTGAATACTTCTATTTTGCAAATAAAAAAGGAATTTTGTAATATCAGGACTTGAGAACTTGGTTTTTTAAAGTTTATTTTTCCTCGACATGTTGATTAAAATTAATATATTTCACGCCTGTAGCTTTTGAATTTATGAATGTCTCGGATACAATATAACTAATGAATATTAATAATATGGTCATTTTTACAAAATCTTTATGGTAAATGCACTGGGAGCATTAATAAATATTTCATTAAATGTAGGAAAAATTCGATCAATAAATCGAAAAATGTTTATCCTGCGAGTTAAATGGACTTGTGTTATTCATGTTAATACTAGCCAATTTATCGACTGTACAAATGGACTGTCAGGAATCGAAATTTAAAATAAGATTTAGCCATATTTTATGAAAGCTGTTCCTATTAATACGAATGAATACAAAGTTAAATTGCTTAATTTTAAAGGAAATGTTCGTTTAAAATTGATTTGCATTAATTCTTAACACAAAACAAATATGAATATGTCCATAGAGCAAAATGCACAATGTTGCACACATTGATTTTCAAAAAGAGAGAAAACGAAAATTAAAAAAAAAATTTCAGCAAAGGATACGGAAGAAGTACCTCTCTATGGGATCCATGACAACCAGCATGCTGGCCACCTCCCACTGGAAATACCAGTATTTGATCCACGCCACCAGTTTCCTCAACCACTCCATCACTGAGTTATAAACTCAATCAATATAACACCCCGAATACAAATATCACCAATTCATAATGGACAAAAGAACTTTTCTCTGCAGTTAACGACTAAAACTGTTTTCTTCTGTGTATCCGGCAAAAATAAACCGAGCGTTTTGCAATACTGTTTAAATGGCTGATTTTAAATAGGCCGTTTGAAAGTCTGATCTTCATTAAAAATGCCCAATGAAATAGAAATAACAGTGTCCGGATTTTTAAATTGAAAAGGCTGCCCAAGGCATAAGAAATGTTTAATATCGGAAATTGAATTGGAGGAAAATGAAAGTTAAAATTCTTAGGCAAAAAGTTTAATCATATTGTCTCAAAAAAATTCAAGCTTGTTCCTGCTTGGATGAATAAAACTGATTTAAAACATCTTTAGAACTCAGAATTTCATCGAATAATTTAGGAGCATTGCTTTGGAATATACTTATTTTTAACTTTCAAGCACTTTCTTCAGTACTTGTCATGATTAAATAAAACCGTAAAGTGTTGTAAACAATGTGTCTTTTTTTATAGCTTCGAAAACAACGATAAATTTTCGTCTGCTGCGGATCCAAGAATTTCAGATTTAAGTTAAAAGCAAAAACGGGTAGGGGTTCAAGGAAACGAAAACAATACTACTACACTCGGTTAAAAGGAAGTTACTGGGACCTATGAAATAACTACCGTATAAGGAATTCGTGAAATATATGTAACTGGGGATCCAAAATAACTTCGCAATATCCGTGTTCGTGCTAAACGAGTTTTGCTGTTCGTATGATAATGCAAAACATTTATTGCATTTCGGAGATATATTTTTTGGACTATTTCTCACAGTTCTTGCTGATTTATCAAAATCTGTTTTCACAAAGTACCTCTGTCCTACAGGCAATTTTCTTATTAAAAATATTCTCATTTCTTATAATTAATTTATAATATAAGAAAAAGCTTAAGGAATGCTAATTACCAATCCTCTTTTAAGATTATTAAGTTACCCCTGATATTGTGAATACACCATGTAGAGGGGTTACACTGTGCAAGAGACCTTAAAGCTGCTGTTGAAAATACTTCGTTCTGTTCAATGAAATGTCTCCCTTAGTAGGTGAAATTCTTTCATTCATTCGCTTCTCTGTACAATTTCAATTGTTTACATCGTATTTGATAATTTAAAGATAAGTTGGTTGAAAGATTGAACATTGCATAAATAATAAATCTGTCATTGACAGAAATCTTGAACTAATGTAAACCTGTGTGTTTGTTCTGCACTATAAGTTGCACCAAAAGCTTTTATTTTTATCATATTTCGAATTATTTTTTCAACTATTTTTATGTTCTTTTTTTATACATGCTTTGATACACTAAACGCATTGATACACCAAACGCTAATATTTTAAGTCAGAGTTTTTTTGTACCGATTTCGGTTATATGAATATTTGACATTCATACTTGATCATAAATTACACTGAATGAAAAGTAATTAAAACATGATGACAACTCCTCACAGTAAAAAGATGTTATTCAATTGTCAAAGGTAAAAATGAAAAACGGATCTAAAAACAATACAAATATGTGAAGAGAGTATAAAACATAGACTCCTGGAAATTCCGCAGGTGGGATCAGATGCCTAGGAGGAGTAAACATCCCCTGTCAACCAGTCGCACTCGCCGTGGACCTCATGAATTGATGAGGCAGACAAAACTATGCGTTGTAAATTTAGTATAAAAACAATCTGCTAACAAGGTCATTATAACGACCATAAAATTTACGGAATGCTGGCTTTAATGAGATGTTGAAATCCTTGTAACATTAACTTATCCCTGAGTACTTGGAACTTGCTTCGTTTTGAAAATCGATCGTACTCAGAGAAGCTCTTGAGTAGTGGATAAGTTGGGGGACATGAACACCATCAGTAGGTGATTGTGGAATATTAACTACAGTGTACATGAATAAGGAAAGATTTTTGTCATACAATTTAATTATACTATTCGTTTTCTCAAACATTCCTATTTGATAATCTTGTCATTCTTATTCGATGATTATGTGATTTAAATGCAATATGCTATACATTTACTTGTTATTTTTTTATTCAAAGACATCAAATGTTCCAATTTGAAAGCATAGTCTATTGCTATTCGATAATCTTATTTTTATGCGAAGTTTTCATGTCATTATTATCCCTTGCAACGGAGTTAGAAGGGATAGGGACACACTGTTGTAAAGCCAAAACATGTACTAAAACTTAAAAAAAAACCAAACTATTATATGTTAACACATTGATGATACATGTGCATCAAACCAAAATCAATTTACATCTGTTCTTTTGCTGCAGAATTCAAACATATAAAAACATTGTGACAAGCAGAAAAATATTCCATTTCTGAAAATCAAAGTTTGTATAAAGTCATCCGAGTCGCCCAAAAGTTCTTCTTATAATGTTTCCTGTACCGGTGACGAGGACTTCTATTTAGATCTCGATGATTGACTGTTTTATCCAAAACCTTAGACTCTTTCTTCATGACGTTGTTAGTTGACATTTTCCCATGACGTCATTATTTGCTGGAATGACGGGGAAAGACCAGAGAGTTCCAAGAGCCCCGTTACTATGGATACCGTAGAATATAGCACCACGGCGAATAATATTACTGTAAATGCATCTGCATGATTGTTGACATCAAGGAAAAAACTCAAATTGAATTTAATGTTGAACTAAAATACTTAAATTATATAGAATTAACAATGCTTTACGTTTTCACTTAGGGCAACACTACAATGTATGTTTAATAGCGTTTTAAAAGTAACCATATAACATAGAAAACAATTAAAAACTAGAAAACGGAAAACCCCTACACCATGTACAAATCTTTCAAGCAAATTTGTTGAGCTTAAACAAATATCTTCTGTTTGACTATCAATCTATAATAGTTCGACAAAATTCTATATGAATGTTAAATGGACAAATGATTTTCAGGTTTAAAAATAGCCAATTTATCGATTGGCCGATGAAAACAAAATTGAAAAATATTAAAACAAAAAAAAGCAACCTTTAGAAACATGTACCAAGAAATACTTACTAGGAAAACATATGTTAGATTATTCTTCTTTTGTCCGAAAAAGCTTTATCCTTATATAGATACTAACATTGTTCTTACTCAGTCATCATTAATAGAAGCTATTCTTTCAGCACTGATTTCCTCTATCAAAGTAACATATGCTACGCATGACTTATTAGGAAATAAACATATTTTTGGTCAAGGATACGGAAGAAGTACCTTTCTATGGGATCCATGACAACCAGCATGCTGGCCACCTCCCACTGGAAATACCAGTATTTGATCCACGCCACCAGCTTCCTCAACCACTCCATCACCGAGTTATAAACTCAATCAATATAACACCCCGAATAAAGATATCACCAATTTAGCATCGATTTTGGAAATATTTCGCCTTGGTTAATGATTATGTTTTTCTGTTTACCTGGAATATTTTTCCACTGTAGTGTTTTGCAATACTTTTAAAAGGCATGTCTCTGTAGGGCTTTTGTATATTGAAGTTTATTAAAAAGTGCTAAGTCGAAGAAAAACAACATTAAACGATGTTTAAAGTACACTTATTTATACATGAATATCGCTAATTTTCAAAAAATAATTTTAAGACATTACGTCAAAATTACAGTACATGCACTTTCCTGCTTTGTGTTGATTGTATAGACTTGAAAAACATTTTTATTTCGTTCCAAGATAATTGAGAGTAAATAACTTTCACAGCATTGTAACTTTATTTTATTTTATTCCAACAATATTTAAGAATATACATGTATTCAAAATATAAAATCACATTCTGTAATTGTAAAATACAATTTAATGATCTATTCTAAAGCCACAAATGAGTATATGTAAATGTTTTCGTTTTTACATGTATAATTTAATGCATTACCTATGAGTCTATTTCGAAATAATTTTTAAATGACCTTGTCTTTGGGAAATACTTTCAATTCAATTCTATCTAGAACAAAATCTATAAGTGACTGAAAAGTAGTGCCACAACAAATGTGAACCCTTTATAATAACTGGGTCGGTAGATATACTACTATGACCATTTAATTCGTCTTCGAGATGCTTCTTAGAGCACCAGCTCCTTACTCTGTGATTTTAGAACAAACGCTATTAGAAAAATGTTTGGTGTCTTCAAATTATATTTCTACAAAGCTAAGCTAATCTAAAAGAACAACAACAAAAAAAAGAAGAAAGTGAATTAAATATTTATCTATTATTGATATTCCTTTTTAAATTAAATAAACTTTAAAAATAATCATCAATTGAAGTCATTTTACGTTCTCTTCAAAGGTATGCCAAAATCACTTGGTGGGTTCTTTTTCGAAGAGTGTGTATATGACGGTACAAATTCTCATAAGTGTAGCAGATTGTAGTCCATTGAATGAAAACTGCTTAAGTGATTCTTGATAAGAGTGAACAGCATCTTCATGCAAGTTCCCTGTGATTTGTTGACAAATTCCCAAAATTTGGAAGGATATATCCTTAGTTGCAGAAGGAACTCTATAGTTGTTATCATCGTGCACTAATATCTGTAATTTAATTAAAACTTCGTCTGCCTCTCTGGAGTCAACGTGCCTGAAACACAAAATTTCTAGCATGTGGAACAGCACAAAGGGTGATATTTGTACAAAGGGTCGCTGGTTTTGTTGACCTGACATTTGTTCTGGTAACAACTCATTAAAATAAAATATTTCATTGTCAAGTTTTACATCCCTTGCAGCACTCTCTCTGGTCTTTTCAGACCAAGATTTCCCTCCAAAATTCTCTAAATACAGATCTGCATCAAACTGTCTGTTATATATAAGTGATGGCTTTGCAAACTTCGACCTTATCTCTCTTAAAATAGACAAAGCTTTCAAAATTCTATGTGTTTTATAATAATACATTGCAACAAATAGACTGTCAGAAACAAACCCAAACTTGGCTGCTAATTGCAGCATAGGACAGCTTAATTTGTCTACAGTATACAAATTTTTGTTTTTGCCTTTTTTACGATTCTGATATAAGAAAGCTGTTTTCAAAAGAGTTGAGGCACTAAGTTTCTGCAGCATCGCAACATGATACTTCGACAGTGGTAAAACTAGTAATTCTTCTATAGTGTCAAGGTGCTTTATACAATCTGATACATTAAATATTTTTGATATAGTCTTAGTATGTAATTCATAAAATAATTCCGTATCAAACTCAATCTCAGATGATAAGACGTCTTCGTCTGTACAAATAAACATCAAGGGATCTGTTTTAAGAATTAACTTAATATAAAAAGTGACCAAAGGAATAAATAGTATGGATAATAATCCTTTTTGATATAAATAATACAAGTTTCGGAATAACTTCTCTTGTGCTTTACCATTTATTCTATTTAGAAACAGATTGTTTTCTGGAATAAAAAAGTTTGGACAGACACCATCGTAAACCCATTTCAAAATATTTTTGAAGCAGACTTCAAAACACTCCAGGATATTTTGTGGACACCAAGGTAAGTTGTTTTGTTGAATAGTCCAGAATACTGCTGTTTTCATGTGATACGAACACAGTAATTTTTCATCGTCGCTCAATCCCTTGTTAATCACTTCTTTTAGGAATAATTTTAACAAACCGTAAGTTAGAAACTGACACTGGTTTATTGAGTAAACAATTTTTCGTTCAGCTAGAGAGAAAGAAATCCTCCATTCCATTGCTTCATATTTTCCTTGTTTTTGACCTATTGCTACCTATGTAATGAACAACATCGGGTGTGTGGCATCTGTCAATCCATGAAGCTGCAATGGAAGGCCAAAAGTCAGATGTCGTTGTCGTTGTTGTAGTCATTGTTTTTTTTTTTTTTTTTGTTTTTTTTTTCTTCTCAAGTACCACTGGGCCAATTTCAACCAAACTTGCCACAAAGTACTCTTCGGTAAAGGGGATTCAAGTTTGTTCAAATGAAGGGCCAAACCCTCTTTCAAGGGGAGACAATTATGAATTAATGAAAAATTAATGGCATCTAATAAAATATGTGAAATGTGTGTCTGATCAAAAAGTAAAATAGGAGGTGCACATTGGCACTGTGTACATGTAACAAAGATTGTGTGAAAGTCTCGTAAAATTTTATTCAGTAGTATAAGAGGAGTTGCGGATAAGAGATGGGTACCCCAGAGCGTAACAGAGGGACGGACGGACAACCTGATCACTATATACCCTCCAACTTTCCAAATTAATTTTTTAAGGCACAGTTTCCAGAACAATGTCACAAACACTAGGAGCTACATTTTGATTTCATCAGTGTTGCGTCGACAGCTGATATGTAAGATTCGTTTACGGAAGAAGAAAATGTTAGTTATACAGACAATTTATTGAATTGAAATTTTTTGGCATCATTCAAAAAATATCGATCATGATGTATACCAGTTTTGAATTTCATAGTCTTAGTATAACAAAGATATTAAAAATGTTTTTTCCTGGGAAAAACCTCGTATATCTAGGATAATTTCATCAGCTAGTCCCGAATGACGCCCTTGTAAATACGGAGAGAGAACCCCCCCACCCCCCATTTTTCGCGTTATCTTGACAAAATGTAATGCGATAAATTAGGAAAATAAATGAGCTACATGTATTGTTCTGTATATAGCATACAACCTTGCAACCAAATATATAACAAATTTTAGTATTATGACTAGGGCTTGAAAACCATTTTTCATGTTAAGTATTCTTTAAGAGATTTGAAAAGACCGAGTTATCATTCTTGCACTTCCCTTTCGGGTCATCTGATGTACACCAACAAAAAATTTACCCTAGATTGCGAGTGATTTAATTGAAATACAAATATATAAATACAAATGGTAGCTATAGGAAATAAACGGAAGAAACAAAGAAAAGGAAGAGTTACAAATTTATTAATGAATGCATTTTCTATGTTTTGTCATGTTTTAGATATACAATCAATAGAAGTTGAAGCAAGGTTAGGCAAACGACGATAAAAGAATTGCAAGCCTTCTCTCTTCTAGTGCATCAGTCGAAAACAAGATATTTAAAAACAGTTCATAAAGGCAAAAAAAATTAATTGACATGTAGTGCATAATTATTCGAATACACAGAGAGGAAAAGTATTGTTTAACTTTTAATTTCTTTTGAATATGATAATTGTCTTTATTTTCACATTTTATATCTGCAAACTGTAAACACTTTATTTAATACAAATTTAAAAATATCTATGACTACTATATTTTTAATATTAACAAAATAAATAAAACAAAATATATTATTCATTAATTACAATTAAAAATATAAAATTTGAAAAATTTTAAGTACCGTTATTCATTTTTTTTCCTTGCTTTTTTTTTTTCAAAGAGTTCGTTTATTACAGTACAAATTCTAACAAGTGTTGCGTACTTTAATCCGTTTAATGGAAAATACTGAAGTGATGTTTGATATGAGTAGAACGCGTCTTCAAGGTTCCCTGTGACCTGCTGACATATTCCAAGAATTTGGAAGGATATATCCTTGAGTGTAGATGGTATCCTGAAAACTTTGTCATGATGAACCCGATTCTCTAATTTTTTTAAAACGTCATATGTCTTTCCGGTGTCAACCTGTCTGTTACAAAAGATTTTTAGCATGTGGAATAATACAAAAGGTGGAATAACTAAAATAGGTCTACTGTTTTGTAAAGCAGACAGCTGTTCTGGTGCTAACTCTTTTAAGTAGACGATTTCATTGAAAAGTACAACATCCATTGCAACGTTTTTCATCTTTGAAGACCAAGACTGTTTTCCGATAGCATACATATGTATTTCTGAATTTACTTGTCCGTTATACATAAGCAATTGCTTTTCGAGCTTTATCTTTATCTTGTCCAAAACAGATAAACATTTCAAAATTCTGAATGTCTTGTAGTAATACATTGCGAAATAAAGACTGTCAGAAATAAACCCAAACTTGGCTGCTAATTTCAGAATGTTACATTGAAACTTGTCTATGATGTACGAACGTTTGTTGTTGCATTTACAAACGTATCGGAGATAAAATGCAGTTTTCTGAAAGATTGAACTTGTGATTTTTTGAAACATTACAATACTATACTGCGACATGGGTAAAGTTATCAGTTGTTCTATTGCTTTAAAATTATCCTTATATTCTTTAACATCTGATATTTCTGCGCCATTGGCAGCTATTTCACAAAACAGGACCACATCAAACTGAAAGTCATCCTCTGAAATTAAGAGTTCTTCTTTTGTACAAAACAAGAGAAAAGGGTCATTTACGAGAATTATCCTGAGGTAAAAATTGAGCAGAGGAATATGGCATATGGATTTTAATTTAGTAGCAGTACTTTGATACAAGTCATACAACCTACGGAATAGACTCTTTTGTACCCGACCATTTATTTTACCTAGAAACATGTT